TAGATATGGAAAATAGCCTGTATAACTATTTCTTCAGTAGAAAGGCTAGGTAATTAAAAAAATTATTTTGTATTAGATTTACACTATGTTTAAGTTACATAATCTGTTAGAAGGTGCTTTCCCCATTTAATTTTTACTGCTATTAATTCCTCTCAGAACACTGAAGATCACAAGTGTGATCAGGATATGTGGGAGGAATTCTTTGTCCTCTGAGTAAAGTGAGTGCAGAAGATAATCACATTTCTCAACAGCCAAGCCCCTCACCAAGCCCAGAAATGTACTTTTTGAAGAGATGTTGAGTCCTGAATTGTCAATCTACACTCCTGCAACTCACAGATAACGTTATGTCAAACTGTCATGCAAAACCTGAACGTACTCTTAAGAAACCACACCAAAATTTAAGTTGTGTTACTGTTTCTTAGCTACTCCAATTTATAATGTCCTTAAAATGTGTTTCTCTGTAGACCTTGCAACAGGATTTGGCCATTAGGTGAGTCACTGGAGTTGCTTAATTAAGCACCTCCACTCCCTGTTTTTAACACAGAGCAACAACATCTGACAAACTCCTCGCGGGGCTGCCAAGGGTCCGTGCCAGCGAGGTGAGTCAGCTGCGCCTTTGCTGCATCATCCCTCTGACAGACAGCACAGGGAGGATTAAATAACTGCACACAGAATAAATCTGACTTTCTGCATCATCTCTATCTTAAATGCAACAGAGAGTCTTCACCCCTGTCTTAAATGGTATTGCAGTTTGGCTGAACATATTCCATGGGTTTGGGGAACTGGCTCCAATATTCCAGTGCAGCTCTAAACACACCATGGAAGGATGAGATTCTGAGCTGCAGGAAGGCAGAGCTAATGTCCAAAAAGAAAAGCCCCTCCTCTTGTGAACTTCCACCAAACACAGCCATAAACAACATGCAAAAACAGAACAGGGATTCTGAGATGTGATGACTTGATTCCCATTCAACCTGCTATAATTTGATTTTTTTTCCAGAATATGCTAATATGGAGTCATTTAGAAGACTCAGAAAGGTCTGCATAGCCCTCAATGAAGTTCCTCATCCCTGACCAATTTAATGAATTTATGACAATTCATTAAATCAGAGAAAAACTAGATTAAAATGGACAGAATTGGGAAAATGTATTGCTAATGGCTTTTATTTCATAGCATCATAGAGGAATTGGCAAGAAAGGCCCAAGAGAATTGTTTGCCTCAGAAACCAGCTACTGTCCTCCTTCCACTGTCTTGGTGATTTTTTAAATAAACATTTGTATTAAAACCAGTGACAGTATAATAAATCTATTCAGAAAATCTACTTACAATGGCACTTACTGTCATGCTTGATTTAATTGTCCTCTTTGAAGAATGACTGCTTGTAGCGTGAAGGTGATTCTCTCCCATCTATCTTTCTCTCTGTAATCCCCTAAACCAAACATAATTCTGAAGAAATAAAATAAAAATGTTTATGCTCTGACAGTGCTCCTATTCTTAGTGTAGTTGGGATGTACATAGAGGGACTAGAAAATACCTGTAAAGGCCAGTAGCTGGAGACTGAGGATGACACAGAATGCTCCATCTTCTACTTGATTGTAGTTTATTACTGCATTTGTTACCCGTAAAAAATGAAATGGAAGGAACGTTTCCCTGAAGGTACAAATAAAAGACATTATTTGCTATCAACAAGTGAAAAAAGAATCATCCACTATCAGGCTAAAACATAAATTGTTAATTAGGATGATTACATTATCAGTAGTTGACACAGTGAACTTACAGGACAAGCAATACAAAATTAAAGTACCAGCACATTTCTGAAGTTGGAAAAGAAACTGAAACAGAATGTTATTTGTTCTCTTCTCAAATGCCTTCCTTATGTTCCTCAGAAGCCCAAGCAATTGCAGCTGTTGGGAGAACCAAAAGACACTTTCACTGCTGCCAGTCACACTGCCAGACACCCTGAAGGAAACCCACAAGCCACAGCTTCATCACTGAGGTTCTTCTGAGTTCAGCCGTAACTTCAGCAAAATCACAACAGAAAAGCATTTTCTTCAGAAAGAATCAGACTTCCAGTGTTCTCTTGCTCCCATTGTCTACCCTGGTCCTTCCCTGGTATTCACTCTGACCAGCAGTGTCTTCCTTTTGGCTAGAAACCATGAAGATTTAAACTGTAACGGGCAAAATTATAATTTACTGGACATGCTTGGACAAAGAAAAATAACATAGAGGAAATTTTTAAAAGTAGGGTGCAAACTGGGATGTCCTGGAAAACACAGGAAGGACTGGGCATATCTGAGGTTTCCCCTTACATTGCTGCTGGGACAGTCTGAGTACCCTGGAGGCCACTCCATGGTCAGGAAATGTGTGTGGGGCTGGGGCACTGTGGCAGGGTAACAGAACTGAGAGCTCTGGGAGGCAAGAGAATGGGGCTGGACAAGATTTTCAGCCTGTTTTCAACAAAGGCAGCACAAGGTAACAGCTGCTGCCTCCAGCCCAGGTCTGTTACCTCTGCAGTACATTGTTCTTTCAGGTGACAGTGAGTACTGAATGGTGCAGAGGGTGACACTCCAGTCTGAGTTAAGTTGTGTAAAATAATGGAGAACATCACAATAAAACTGTCTATAATCACAGAAAATAACAGCTCTTTGTAACCGATCCAGATGGAATTCAGACAGAACATGTTAAAGCAAACCAAATTCTTCTATTAAGAAATTACTCCCTAATTTCTATTTTAAGCCATTTTTAATTCAAAATCATTGATGCTAATGATTTAAAATAAAAAGTGTATAAAAAGACATTATGGCACATTCCTGATTTCAGTTTATTGATTTGTTTAAATGAACTAAAATGTTTGCATTGATCTTTCAAAATAAATTATTAGGCCTCAAGAATCTTTGTCAGAAGGATCTAAGTAGTTCATCCTAAACCCTTCAGGAGTGCCCTCATGATCCATGCTCAATAGAGGGGAGTTATCTGACAGGCACAGAACATCCTGGCATGAAAGTGCATAACCTGTATGATCTACCCTGGAGGCTCAAAGACTGTAATTTCAAATTTATTTATTTCACTTTGTGTGGGGCTTTCTGAAAAACAATGATTCTCTGATCTCTGCCAAATTACTTTAAGAGACTATCCACACTACATTTCTAAAAGAAACCTTGAGCTGAATTCCCCCTTTTATACCTGTTAACACCATTTTTCCTACTCTCAACTTTTAGCTAAAATGAGATGTCAAAAATACATGCTTTTTCTGGTGGATACAAGCCTTTGTCATGTTTCCCCCCAAAAAGAGTCAAAGAGAACAAAGAACTACTAAGATATGCAGTGTAAACTGAAGTTCAGGAAATTCACCCTCTGACAAACCAAGGTAAATAAAAAGCTCTTCTGTGGAGAATTTCCTATCGTGGATGCTCTGCCCACACACAGGTTTTTCAGGGTTAAGCCAAGAGAGGTTTTGTTCCATGAGTTCTTTGCATTGTTTCAGCTTCTGTTGCATAATAGAGCCAAAGGAGTGATGTGAGATAATAAAGCTCCAGTCCAGCTACAGCTTTAACTGGCAGCACTAGTAATGTTCTGGCACCATCTGATGTTTTTTGTTTTGCTTGCCTGGGTATAATCTCTAGGCAGCCCCGCTTTGTTTAGTCAGTGAAAATAAAGAACAAAAACCGACTACTAAGGTCATATGCAGCTTGGAAAAAAAAAAGTTATCTACATTAACAAGCCAGACTTCAAAATCAGATTGTGCATTAGGTACTCTAAATTGGTAACTCCACGCATAAATACACCACCAGGTGACTCCAAGGAGTCAATGCTCATTCCCATTGGTGACAAACTAGTGTACGATGTGACTTGTGATATGGGGAGACAATTAGAAATCTGGAATATTTCTTATTTCCTAAGATGGAACACACTGCCTTTGTGTGATTCTTTTTCACTAAACGGGTGATTTTCTATTAAATTTTGTTTAATTTAGTATAAAGTTGCAGTGTTGTGAGACACTAAACCTGTTTTAGGCCGACTATAAAGGCATTTAAATAGACAAAGAATAAAAAAGGGCTGTAAGGGGGAAAGGAAAAAATGTTACTAATGAACACGGTAGACTGCACGATAAACACAAACCTCATGGTAAAAACACTACTTCTGCTGCTTTATTGTTGTTCCCTAGAAGGAACATGAGTATCCCTATGGGTCCTTTGAAGTTTTCATGTTAAAGCACAGCTCAAGTTCTGTACTTATGTCAGAGGAGATCAGTGCCAAAACCATGCCTTGTGCTGAACAACAGATTTGCAACTGTCCGTAGCTCCTGGGGAATTCATTCCACATTCTTGGATCAGTCCGTAGGAAAGCTGTGTCACAACTTTTAAAGGTCATCTCGAGTCATGAATGGGTTTTAGACACTGTGGACGTGGAGCGCTTTGAAGAGAAGCCCCCTCGGACTCCATTGTTAAGCCCACTTTGGTTTAGAGTTAAGGCACTTAAAAAAGCCGAGAGGCAGAGGGACAAGTACACCAGCGAGAGATGCTCAAAGCTTCCAAGCGGTGCCAAGTGTTCTAGAGAGGAACTAAAAGATCCCAAAGTGCTTTAGGGGACAGGACGACGCCCTCCCGCCCTCACTCTCCGCAGGGCCAGCGCGCCGTGCCCTCACGGCACCGCCTCACAGCCCTGCCTCGCTCCTCGCCCTCTGCCTCCCGCGGGGCCGTGAGGAGAAGCCGCGGGGACGGAATCCCTCAGGCAGCGCCCTCAATGCCCGTACCCCGAACTCCCTCTCTCCGGACCCCGGGGCCGTGAGGAGAAGCCGCGGGAATGGAATCCCTCAGGCAGCGCCCTCAGTCACCGTACCCCGCGCTCCATGTCCCCGGTCCCCGGGACCGCCCCCGCCGCGCCCCGCTCCCCTCACGGCCCCTCCCCGCTGCGCGCGCAAACACCGCCCCCCGGGGCAGAGTGGCCCCGTGGCCCCTCCCCGTCGCTGCGTGCCCCGCCCCTCCCCGCCCGGCGGCCGCCGAGTCTCTCCCCCGCTCCCCTCACCGAACGCGCGGCGTGCGCGGCGGTGCCGGTCCGGTGCTAAGATGGCGTCTATCATGGAGGGCCCGCTGAGCAAATGGACCAATGTGATGAAGGGCTGGCAGTACCGCTGGTTCGTGCTGGACTACAACGCGGGGCTGCTCTCCTACTACACGGTGAGGGGCGGCGAGCGGGCCGGGCGGGCGAGGAGGCGCCGGGGACCGGCTCAGGCGCAGGGTGGGGGCGGGGAGGGGACTCGGGGCGTGCGGGCGCCCGGGCGGCCAATGGGGAAAGAGGAGGCGGTGGGAGCGACCAATGGGGAAGGAGGAGGCGGTGGGATCAGCCAATGGGGCGGCGCTGCGGGGAGATGGAGTGGCGGGGGCGAGGGGCGCTGTTGTTGTTGGCGGCGGGCGGCGCCGCTGGCGGGAGCGGCTGCGGGACCCGCCCGGGCTCTCCCGGCAGCTCCGGGGCCGCGCACCCTCCTCGGGCTGCTCCTGTCCCCCTGTCTCGGAGCCCTGCTCGGTGCTGGCCGAGCGCTGCTTCCCGCCCTGTCCAGCGGGAACTCGCTCTGGCCCCGGTGAGGGGGCTCAGCCCGGCCGGCGGGCGCGGGTGGTGCCGCCGTCCCGGGGCCGTGCGCGCCCCGCGCTTCGTTCCCGCGGCTCTCGGGGCGTTCCGGCCGCGCTTGGCGGGCTCGCTGCCGCCCGGCAGGTGCTTCCCGGAGCCGGGTCGACTTTCCCGTTTCCGTTCAGGACTTCCCACTTCCCAGCACGAACTTTTTAACAAACAGTGATGCTTTCCTTAACTTGTTTTTTTTTTCTTTAAAACCCCTGCCAGATCCTGCCTTACTGGCTTGTTCACCTTCCTTATTCATATTTTTACATAACTTACAAGTATTTTAATGGTAGGAATTAATTTTTTTCAAGGATGCAGCCTGAAATCTGAAGGCTCGCTGGGTGAGCTGCATCCATGCCCCAAAGTTTTCTTCTCATGGAGCAATTAGTGTATCAGCTGGATAAAACACATACAAATTAAACCTGTAGTAAGTTGGAATAGATTTACAGCAAATAACTTGACACACCACAATGTCTATGAAGCTTTGTTCGTACAGAAGCATTGCATATAAAACTTTTTTCTTTAAATCTGGATTTCCATTGTACTGGGAGAGGCAGTGGTAAGGCTTCTGCCACAGAACTGTCACATGCTCTCAGTTTTGTTCATGTGGGTTCAAAATCTCACACCTGGAATGTGGATGGAGAAATGGAAGTGCTTTTATAGTTGCTGTTTAGTGGCTCTTCAAATGTCAGCTGCTTGACAGAGATGAATTAGTCAGTGTGGTCTAAGTAGCAGTCCAAGGTGCAAAGTCATTTAATGCTCAGCTACAGAAATAGAAACATTTGCTGATGACTGCTGTGTATAATTATAATTCTGGATATTGCGCTGACTTTCATCCTATGGTCTTCAGCTGTTTAGTAGAATTATATTATTTAATTTTTTCCTATGACTGGGTACCTCTACATATATTTTACACTTTCATTTTGTATAATTTGTTATGTTCTCTGTCAGTATAACAACTTTTAGTTCAAAAATTTTAAAACTCTTTTTTAAACTAGCTATCTTAAAAAGTTCAAGTTGGGTTTAAGGAATAAAATCATGTTCTCTGCTTTATGTGCCTTTGCCAGTGAGAAGTGGCTGGAGTGAGCATTTCCTTCAGAATGCTCTTCCCATCCATGAGCTCTTTCATTCTCTTACCTAAGGCTGTAAGGCATAATGTAGTGCATATGCATTTACAAGGTGTTTTACAAAAGCCTTTTACCCAAATTGGGAAATTTCAATCCTACTGAAACCTGCCTGGCACAGGATCTGGTCCTTGGGCACGCCCTGCTCTCCCTGTGTGCTGGCAGGGCAGCAGGGTCAGCAGGAGCAGGTTTGAAGGATAACTCGGAGCTGGTCCCAGCTGATCACATCCCTCTCAAGAGCCAATCCTACCCTGAGAAGGTGATAGGGCACCGTTTGCTTCACCTTAGTGTTGGAGTAGTAACTCCTGACTGGTAGTTGATGAGGCTCGTAAATAAACAGCATTAATTTGAAGTGTTGGCAGGTTTGGGATTTTATTTAAATGGGGCAATGGCCTGTTGGGAAGGAACCTGTGATCAGGTGCACAGGACTCCCTCTGCACCAGTTTCAGTCTGGAGCCCTGGAGTTGCCTCACTGTGCCTGGGTGAGTGTGGCTGGGCTGCTGGATCTGGCCTCTCCCAGGAATGCAATGCAGGGCTGGGATGGATCCAGCCCTGCTGTCTGGACACACAGCCTGGAAGCAGTTCTGTTGGTACAGGGGATTACAGGTACTGATCAGCCTGTGCCTGCCCATTGTCTCTCCAGGCTCCTCAGCCTCAGTAAGTTCTGCAGACAGGAGACACTTTCTCCAGCAGATCCCACAGCCTGTTAACCTTTGGCTGGGCAGCTGTGGAAAACTGCAGGCAAATAACTCCTGATGCAGCTGAAGTTTCCATTAGAGCCTGAGCCACAAACTTCTTCATAGGCGTGCCCTTGCACTCCTGGACTCGGCCCTCCCTGGTAGTTACCTAAAATAGACTGCAGAAAAGCACCCTTAATGTGAAATAAACATTCAAACAGAATTAGTGTGAAATAGCACTGCACTCTGGGGGGAAAATAAAAGTCTATGCTTTGTCTTTTGGTGGAATGAATAGCTGTTAACCTAAGTATGTTTGGGATACATTCACCAGGAGCAAGTGAGTGCAATGAAATTCCATTTCTGGAATGATTTGAACTTTAAAGGAGCAAGTCAAAAGATTTTGCATCAAGTCAGAGTCAGAAAAAAAAAGAAAAAATGTAATGGTCACATTCATTTCTGTTTTCATTTGTGTGTTCCATTCTCTGTACTTGTATTGCAGTGAACAATAGTAGTGCTGCTTGCATGTGTCAATGTGAATCTTCTCATGTGTGTTGACAAAAAAGCCTTTTACCTAAATTGCCGAATTGTTGGCTTTTTTTTCCACTTCTGTAGTCCAGGAGATTTTTTCCTCGTTCAGAATTGAAATGTTCAACCTCAAATTTGCTTATCATTACTTTTGTGTAAAGTTGCTTACAAATTCTGTAATTTACAGAGTATGATCTGGACTCATCATCCAAATATTCTTTTCATGTGGTTTTGCTTAAATAAATGATTGCTGATATCAGTAAGTGGCCCCCTTTTTTTTTCCTTTTTTTTTTTTTTTTTTTAAGCAAAATATGAATTAAATTACACTGTGCCATTTTTGCCATTTTGGATCGGTTTGACCAATGGCTTGACAAATTATTTTTTTCCCCTCAGTATTCTTGCATTTGTGACTCTACTCATGCTTCAGTGCTTTCTCTTAAGGGAATAACTTATATATGTAAGTTACTGAAGCATTGTGGGTTTGTTGGCTTCACTGAAATATTTAGCAAACAAATCTTGAACTGGCTCATTCCTGCCTTCTGCTGGTGCAGGGGCTGTAAAGTTGTTCCATGAGCTGCATTCCAGATGAGAAATAGCTTTGTGCTGGTTTATTTTTTCAGCTGAATTTGTTCTGTTGTTTGTTTTGTTCATGTCAGTGTGGAAACGTGTGTGTTGACATTATGCTGGGAGGAGAACATGAAGACAAAGAAATGGTCAAGGAGGAAGGGGGAGTTGAATGCAATTTGCTTTTTGTTTGTGTTTTCTGGCAGAAGTGCTGTCTTAAATACACATCAGCTATAGCCTTGATAACCCTTGGGAATTCTGTAGAAATAATCCAGTGAACCACTCAAGTTTGAAAATCTGATTTAAATTCTAGCTTTAAGTGTACTCTTTAAATAAATATTTAAATTGTATAATAAATTGAAAGCAGAGCTGGCATAGCTGTGCAAACAGTGCTAAAAACAGTGCCAGAAGAAGGTCAGTTCCTTAAAGTATTTTAAAACTTCATGGATATTTGACATTTGGTGATATTGAAAGGAGAGCTATTCAAAATGTTGCAGGCTTAAAGGACTGCCTTGCACAGTGAATGAAGGCTGCCAGAAAAAATTGTTATGTATGACAGCTCCATATTGTGTGTTCCTGAAACCAGACTGGGGAGCCTCCCACTGGTGCAAAAATCCTAATGGTTTTTGCACCAGTGAATGCCTGAAGAATGGATTTTAGTGCTGTTCTTTTGTTCATCATTCCATCAGACCACTTTTAAAACATTTGCTGGTCGACTGATTTCAGGAGCAAGAGCTGTGTGAAATCAGTTGTTGAGAAAAGTAATTGTGGCAGTATGAAATCATCACTCCCCTCATGTTTTTCAAGATTACAACTAGTTAGCAACTTTAAAACTGGTTGTATTGAAGAGCTGCTTGTGGGTTGTACAACCCAGCTATTGAGGAGAGAGACTCAGATTTTGGAGCAGTTTTATGAATCTTTGGTGGTGAACTGAAAGCAAACCTTGTTGACTTGATTTCAAACCATGCCTCCAAAGCTGCAGCCATGGCTCAGTGGCCCCATGGCAGAGACTTTCAGTTAAATGCTTCTTTCAAATACAGTTTCTCAATCAGCAGCTGCGTGCAAAAGTCCCAAGAAAACAGGAAAAAAACCACATCTGCTTTTGCACAAAGGTTCCCTCCGAGGTCTCTGTTTTCCATTCTCAGATGAAATGACACTTTTTTCTTATAATAACTTGATCTTGTCACATGCCCTGAAAACAACTCAGTGAGTCTATTAAAAACAGACAAAACTATAAGTGAACTTGTCATAATAAAAATAATTCTGAATTTATGGTCACGGCATATAAAATATTGTTGGTTGTCATACATGGCTAAATTGAATTTTGTTGATTACATTTTGTATCACAGGTTTCCATGCACTGAATAAACTGTTAAAGGATTATTATTGAAGTAGTTGACTCCTCTTTAGTAGTTAAATTTCACCTACGGGCAGTTTAGTCTGTAGCTGTGCATTTTTGGGGAAGAGGCTGAATGGAGAGTTCCAGGATTGGGCTGTACCTTTTACCCCTTGGTGCAGTTAAAGCCTCACATGAATTAATTTCTCATAGGATTCTAAAGCAATGTAATGCTTTTCCATGCCAGGCCCTATAAAATATTGCCTTACCTATTTCATATAATCCTGGTATCTGTTTGGGATTAGATGAGCCCCAGTGGCACCTCAGCTATTGCTGCAGTGTTTTATCTCCTGTTTTATGATTGCACCCACAAAAGTCCCAGTGTTGGCTGCACAAACAGCAGAGCTGTGAGATGCTGTCCCTGAGCTCAGGGAGCTTCTCCTCTGAGACTGGGATGTGCCTTGGAAGGGAGGAATGGTGGGGCTGGGAACAGCCTGCAAAATCTTTAAATTGTTGAGGTCTGTTTCTGCTTAAAAAATGAGCGTTGCCTTAGGATTTGATGAGAAAAAAATGACTGTTATGGAAAGTGATCCAAATTTAAGCTTCTCTTGTAGATGTAGATAAATTGCAAAGATTACTGTTTATAGATACAGCTTGTTCCAGGTTCTTCATCCTTAACAGGAAATAAATGTCCCAAGCGGTTTTGCTCATCTGTGTGCTTGTGTTAGGGATTTCCATGACAGCACTGAGTGAGTCAGAAATGCACCTCTTCAAGTTCTGCCCTTCTGTGCAAGCAGAACTCGTGCCTGAGAACTTTGGGAGGCAAAGAGCAGCTGGGTTTTATTGGAAACCTTAAACTTTGCACGCCACAGCTACAACTCAAATGAAATAGTAGCACTTCTAAAGATGAAGGAGGGCTGGGGGTCTTTCAGGCTTGGGTTAGGATTCTAATTTTGTTTTGTTTTCTTTAAATAGGCCCAAACATTATTTTTATTTCTCTTCAGAAGTTGTAGGTTACCTGAAATGCCTTATGGTAAATCAGTTCTATATGTGATCAACTTTGCTGTGTGGATGTAAAAGAGGAACCAATAAAGGCCACATCTTTTTGGGAGATACCTAAATTCTCCCTGCAGTAATACTCTATAGGTTTATTCATTTTTACAAATTTTTATTTGAGTTTCAGCTGAAATTTATCTCATATTGGTGTCTGCTTATAACCTGTTCTTTATCATCACAATCAGTACACTGTGTATTGAAAGCTTACGGGAAATGTAATTTTGTCTGGTTATAAAACTGAGCGCTGAAAAAGATAGCTACATATTAAAATTTTAAATATAAAAGGAAAGTAAAATGTGGGGGTTTTTTATTAGCCATTTAGAGATGGCTTTCTGCTGTATGAGTTTTTATTCAGTGAAATGGAACCATTCCTCAAAGCAGTTATAGGATGGCTTTATTTTTAATAGGATATATTGGGTAACCTAATTTTAATCAAAGAAAAATAAAGGGAAGCTGAGAGTATTTGAATTGTATTTTTATAAAATTTTAGCTGGGGAGGAGGCAAAATCTAAAATGTCAGCTGAATTGTGTTTTAAAGTGCTGTCCTGCAGCAGCAGAGGAAGGTTTGCTGTGTGCCAGTGAGAGAATCCAGCAGTGTGAGTGATGGCAGCTGCCTGCTCTGGAGCTCAGGGAATTCAGATACTGGAATGATGGGTGTTTTATTGCACTTAGGCAGGATGAATTCTATTTAGTGCTTTCTTATAATTGATATTAACCAAGTAAAGCTCTGCCAGAAGATGGTGAAATTATGGGTATACAGGCCCACACTGTGACCTGTTGTTTATCTTGTGATTCTTTTTTCAAACTAAAAACATTATAAAGTTTAAACTTAATTTCCATCCCATTAAAAGAAAGACAAGAAAAAAGGAGGCTTTTACTCTATCTTTTGCAGCTGAGTTGGTGGTCAGTGGAAATGGGGGTTCTTGGGGTTCTGCTCTCCCTTGCACTGTGAGGAGCCCTCAAATTCCCTGCATGTCACTAAGGGTTTTAAACCCTTCCAAACCCAATCTGTTCTGCTGCCTTTGCTTTTTGTCTGCTCTGGTTCTGTGCAGGGAGCTGGGAGGGCTTTGCCTGGCTCATGGGATCCGGGTCAGAACTGGTCGGGTCCCTGCAGCCTCAGTCCAGATATTTTCTTTCCTGCTTAGATTATGCCAATATTTCTTCCAGAAACCACCAGAGGGAGTGATAAGCTCTCAGAAGCGTCCTCCCATTTTAGGAGAACTCTCAAGGCAGTGAATATAAAAAAGTAAAAGTGTACTCTAGTGAGCTGTGTTTCAAACATACACAATTTCTCATAGGAAATTGTTGGAGAAACTTTGTAAATAGATCCTCTCTTGGGTTTGAGGTTAAAAAAAAAGAGACCAAAACAAAACAATGTTCCAAAAAGTCTTCCCTATGTACTTGTTGTCTAAAAAGAAATTATACATCTGTAGAATACATTATGGAGACACTATGGGTCTTTACTTCCATTTCACTTTGACCAGCTAACATGTGCTGATGTAAAAACAAGTAGATTAATTCTGATGGCTTCTAACACTCAGAAGACAGCTCTGATAAATTGGAGCCTGAATTGAATGAGAGGTCAGCTGAAACATTATTTGAAGCCCCAAGTGCTGTACCTGCGCATTATCTTTAGTGAATAGGACTTGCAAGGACTGCTTCATTCTTTCCCCCTAGCTATATCCAAAACATGTTTCAGATAAAGAATAATTAGTGACTCTTAAGACTGATACTTCTTGTCCTGTCTTTTTTTTCCCATTAATGTCAGCAAGATTTTATTGTCTAATTGCTTCAGTGAAGATAAGTGTGGTGGTAATAACATCAATATATTGTCTTGATGGAATTATTGATACATTGCTGGAAGGAGTGGGTATTTCAGAAGATGACAGCAAGAGAATCTGATCATGAGACACCAGTGAGAATTGTTGTTTTCCTGACTTGAAAGAATGTGGTTTGAATATTGGAATGACAAGAGAGAAGGGGTTTTATTAGACAGGACTGCCTTTCAGATAAGGCTACAATAGCAAGGAATTTATCATTTAAAAAACAGGAAGCATGTGTGTGGGTAGTCAAAAACCAGCCCTTACCAGAAAACTGAGTATTCAGGATGATCTCACTATTTTCTTTTTCACCTTATATAGTTTGTTTGTGCTACTTGGGCTTGCCACAATTGCCCAATGGCAATGGTTACCGTCAGCTTTGCCTGTGACAGTGGTGGGAAGAGCTGAAAGCTCAAGGATCACTGTTTCAAGTTGAGTTGACTCTTTAGAGTTCCCTACTTGGGGGGGGGGAGGTTGAAGCTTTTATTCAGTGCTTCAAACAGGTATTAAAGAAGAGATTGAGTAAATTTGCAGGGTGGGTTAATGTGCAAGTTTGAGCGCTGGTTATGGACATGAAAATCCTGTTTTATGTTCTGGGCTCCAACAGTTTAAATGGCTGCAAAGGTTAACTTTTTGAACAGTAATAATGGCAGCAGGCTGTACTAGCTGGGAAGTGAATTTACAAACAAGTCTAAACATGAATTTTGTCTCTGCCTAAAAGTGTATAAATCAGGGGAAGTTTCTGACAGATGTACAATTTCATTTGTGCAATTCTGCCTGCACAGCTAGATTTTGTTTCATGGACACTTTCCTGAGAGTAGGAGAGAAAGGAGGAAGATGTGAATCAGCATACTGCTGATTTTTAATATTTCTCAACTCCTTTCTTCTTCCTTTTCTTTTACTTTCTGTGAAGGCATGGACTGCATTTCAGAAGTATTTGTTGAAGTTACTTAGGAAACTTCTTGAAGTGGGATCTTGTATTCTTTTGAAGGATTCATTTTCCATACCATGGTGGTTGGTGGGAACGAACCAATTTTGTAACAGAAATCGCATCTTATTTAGTCATTCACTAAAACATGGTGCAAAAATGTTTTATTCTTTCTCTGTTGGTTTGAATAACTTTCTTTTTACTGTATTTGTTAACCCACTGATCTTTTTTTTTTCTGTTTCAGTCAAAAGACAAAATGATGAGAGGCTCCCGCCGAGGGTGTGTTAGACTCAGGGTAAGTGTTGTTTTATTCAGTACTCAGTGACTTACTATGTGTAATATGTCCTAGTGGAGAGAACTGCAAGGAGACTTTTGAGGTTTGGGCTCTATTCCTGACTCTGCAAAATGCTGAAATGGTGAAAGTATTTAAAGAAAGAAAACGCTAGAGGTCAAATGACATGCTGGGCTAATTACATCCTATAATTTATATATGGTATAAAAATATTATACATATGATATATTAGAAGGTATTCTAATGTGGCAGAGTAAGATGGGTTAGTAGTAGGACACTATGAAAAATTTGCTGTTTGCAGTTCTCTTTTCTCTGTGTGTGGAGGTCAATGTGTATATACACAGAGATATATATATAGATAGATAGATAGATATATGTATATGTGTATATATATGTGTGTGTATATATATGTGTGTGTATAAATATATGTATATATATATATATATATATATATATATATTTATATATATATATATATATATGTGAGTGTGTGTTTGTATATGTTCTGTATCTACAGAAATCATTGTGAAACTGCTTCCTTCTGTCCTGGTTTGTTTTTCTTCTCTTACCATGTCCTCCGTCCTGCCAGTTTGGACACTCCTTGGGCCTAGGTTAGGCCTAGGCTTGAGCTTAGTGAAAGGAGAACTGGAAAGGGAAGGGAGAACACTGCTGGCAAAGTTTTTGAAATATGGTTGGAGTGGGGTGTGCAAATTGGAGAAGGAAGAGGTGCAGAGTGGGAAAGCTGAGCATTACCTGTGTGAGGCTCTCTGTGTGGGACATTTAGCCCTGACTGCTGCTCCTGCAGCTGGAAATGGAATTGCTAAAGGGAGGTGAGAGTGCTGTGATGTCTTTGCACATGCCCAGCTCCTACCTTGCTGTCATGCTTGTACCAAAGCTATTTCTTCTTGCACAAGTCCTATTCCTATATTTTTTCCCCATTTCTCATAGAATTTCTCTTTCTAGCATGCAGCAGTCTTGTGAAGAGCTAGAACAAGTGAAGAGTGAGAATGATGGGTATGAATGGGAGCATTTTGAAAATTGAAGTAAGAGAAGTCTAGAGAAGGGGATCTGTGGTCTTACAAACAATGTGATGACTGTTGAAGGAAAACTGAGCATTTTCCAGTTACTCCTTCCTTCTGTTGTTAGGCCTTTCTAGTCTTTCTCTGGGTACCTGTAGCCTTCTGAGACTCCACAGAGAATCCCCATTAACTTGGATTCCAGATGACTTCTCTGCACTTTGCCTTGCTTAATGTGTTGATATCTTAATTCAGAATTTCTTTAAGGGAAATGTACACTCAAACCACTGTGTAGAACAAGACATTCCCAAAGATTCATGAGAGAGGGTTTTTCATTTTGCAGAAAACTTCAGTCCAAAAAGCCATGCCTGCTTTAATGGTGCTGTGAGCCTGTCACTGTGGAGGTTGGCCTCAGCCTGCCAGTTTAGGAAATATCAAAAGTGAACAATCTGTTCAATATTGCCTGGTCCATCTTTATATGTATTTAACATAAAACAGCCACTTTCTCTTCTCCCATCTGTTACTTTTCCACCACAAATTGTTCTTTGAAGTTTTCTAAAAACTGATGGACTCCCCCAGCCTTTCTCTGGATATGTGTGATTTGCTTGTTTGGGGTTGGTGTGTTGTTTTTCTTTGTGAGGAAGGAAGGAATCTTCCTTTTTTCTGCTTTTGTAAAGCAGCTCCACTGGCAGATGACAGTGATACTGATAGCTGAACAGATGGGCTTTTGCAGTCTGAAATTCTATCAGAGAAGTTTTCTGTTTGGAGTAATTGTTGATTTGTAACTGTAGGTGTTAACATAAACAAACATGTAACTTGAGCTGAAATATTTCCTTTTCTCTTGAATGGATTATGAAAAGCTTGTTCCTCACCTTTTTGCTCCTAATGCACATTTCATAGGCCTGAAGGTTCATCTCCAAATTCCTTTGCTGATTGTCTTAGTGTAGTTAGGAAAGTGTAGTCATAAAGCATTCTGTGTTGGCTGCACAATGCTCATGTCCTGCTAAAGTTTTCTGGAATATCCATAAACTTTGCCACTCTTATTTCTAATTTTACTCATTCATGTGTATTATCTGCATGACAGAGGAAGCATTTTCTGTGCTTCTGGCTCAGCCCCTTTGCCCCAGTGTGGCAGTGACAGTTTGTGCACTGTGCACAGGTTTGTGCTGAGTTCACAGGCCCAGGAGAGCTCTCCCTGCTCCCACACTTGGGATGGGGCAGGACTCAGCTGTCTCAGTCTGTGTTTATGTGAATTTTATCTGTATCCTCTGGAGAGAATATCTTGGTTGTGGTGAGGTGAGGGTCAGTCTCTTCTCCCAGGTGACAGGATGAGAGGAAATGGCCTCAAGTTGCTCCAGGGGAGGTTTGGATTGGATATCAGGGGAAATTTCTTCACTGAAAGAAAGGTCAGCCATTGGAACAGGCTGCCCAGGGAAGTGGTGGAGTCACTGTCCCTGGAAGTGTTCAGAAGATGTGTGGATGTGGCATTTGGTGAGGTAATTCAGTGTTGGACATGGTGGCACTGGGTTGACAATTGGACTGGATAATCTTGGAGCTCCTTTCCAGCCACTCTGACTCTGATGCAGCTGCTGAGGAGAGCAATATTGTACAACTTGCAGTGACCTTCTGATTTACTGCATAGCAAAATATGCACTTCAAGTGCCAGATACTTATCTACTGGTATATTTCAAAGAAATCTGGTGGTTGTTGTGTCCTGGCACTAAAAATGTTCATATTTATACTGGCTTGGATATACTTTTTAGGTGCCTTTTTTATAGTGATCAGCCAGCTGTCCATGAAAAGGCTATAGGGAAGATACTCCTGGAGAAGTTAAGTGGCACATTTTATCAGTGGAGGGAAATAAAAAACCAGCTTGGAGCTATCCTTTCCTGCCACACTGCCTTGGATTACAGAGGGTTGGTGCTGTTCTTACATGGGACTGCTGTTGTGGGGCAGAAGGAGAAAAGAAACTGAGTCAATCCACTGCTGATTTTTGAGCTAAATATTACAATTTATTGGAGCTGGCAGAGACTTGGAATTGTCCTTTTTTTGTGTCTTCTCCTGGGTGAAACTGTTATTTATTATAAATGTTGGAGGAGGCAGGAATGAAAATGTGGATGGATTTGTAAATTGCTAAGCACAGATGGTCTTTAATTTATTTGCATTTTCTTGTAATAATTTATGAAGAATTAGGAGACAAAGCTAGTTGCTTCCCATATATCCTGATTACTTACTGTTAATATTTACTTAGGGACTGAAAATTAGATCATGCAGTGTACCAGTGACATGACATGATGGGCCAAATTCATTCTGCTGGAATGATTTATTTTTTATAGCAGGCTGGTAGATAAAATCAGGTCAAGAGCTTCTTTTTGTGGAGTACTTAAGAATTGTTATTTTTATACACAGAAAATACATATAAAATATCTAAGTTGGAATGTAGTAGGGAACTGCTGCAGCATAAAGCCACCTCCATTACAAAAATAAAAGATGCATATCATTATCCAGATAACAGCTTTACAAACATTCACTGGTTTTTTTTCTGCAATTAAAAATTGATTGTTTTAAGGAACTGACTGCATCCAGTGACTGAGCAGAGAATCTTTCTGCTCTTTGCGGTATTCAGTTTGCTTCTAATTTGTCAAAGCTTTTTAAATTCCAGTGGTGTAGTGATAGAGTGTGTGCTGCTGATGTCACTGCTTGCCTTATCAGGATTTTGTTCTTTGTTTCACAGGGAGCTGTGATTGGTATAGACGATGAGGACGACAGCACCTTCACAATAACTGTTGATCAGAAAACCTTCCATTTTCAGGGTGAGCTGAAAGAAGAGATTGTTTTTTTCTTGTAATAGATTCCACTTGTATTTGATGGATGATTTTAAATGTTTGGCAAGAGAACAGCATGAATGAGCACACTGAGAACATTCTGGATCCAGGGGTGCTGCAGGTTAGGCAGGGATTTACATCTGCAGTGAATACATATGTGCTAGAAAGAGACTGTAGCTCTGGCAGGATTTGGAGATGAATAATGTAAAGAATAAATCACTCAAGGGGAGAAAGTAATGTGCTTCTGATGATGGGTTTTGCTTGCAAAACGTTTCTGCTCTTCGTTCTCAAGATACAGTGATGCATTTCTTTATGAAGAGAATCAAGACTGGGCTGAAGGTTGCAGTTTTATCCAAATAGAACTTAATGCTCAATTATGAGGAGACTAGAGGCAACGTTGGGCTTAACGGTGGAGCTTTGCTTCAAGATTTACCAGCTTGCATTCATTTCATCTACATTTCTGTGTCTTGTCTGCCAGTCACCATTTCTCTGCTATTATCCTTTTATTCACATTTCCTAGCACCAATGCCATCTGCCACTGCTATGTTCCGTCATTGCATGCTATGGCTCACCGGTAGAAAGGGTAAGGCTCTATATCATTGCTATGTACTCCTTAAATGATTCTGTCTGCAGCAGTAGGGCAAAATACTGTGCTGATATTGAATAGAGGGCTTCCTTTTTCTGAATGTTAAAATCGCAGGGAAGTAGGATGAAAATATTTTGCAGTTAACATTTGTTAGTCTTTTTGCGTTTCCTCTAAAATGCAGTGACTAAATAATTGTTTTGTATAGAGCTGGAAAATGTAAATACCCAAGAGGCACACTTGCATTTATGCAGTCATTTTAATTTATGTAAACTGAAATAATTCTATAACTTACATTGTGCTGTACATATTCTTAAATCAGTGATTTGCAGCTGGGAATTATCATCACTGCTGTTGCTTTTGTGAGACTATTTCTAATGATAAATATTTACTGTACACCATATTGTCACTGGCTTCTGTATTCCTTGTGCTGTAGTTTTTCCTAAATGCTGCTTCTGTCTTCTGGCTTTTCACTACATTAAGCCTTATAAATATACCTTCACAATGCTGAGCTCACAGTAATGCTTAAATCTCCTGTTCCCAAGGATAATTGTTAAAATGCAAGCTAATTGCTAATGCAGTAATGGAATGCTGTACTAAGGCAGTCTCTCAGTACTATAAAGCTAAATATTGCTTTATAGTACTGCTGAATATTTGAGAACTTGATATAGGTAAATCTAGAAATCTCTGATCTTTAGTTGCTAAGATAGACCTTTTTTAATACATCTTGTTTTATATGCTGTATTCTCCTTTGGGTAGCCAGATGTCTTAAGAAAACTGATAGTATTTGACATAAATAATGTTCTGCTCTGAGTAATATTGGTAATTTTTGAACAGCAATGTTGTCACATCTCATGCTTTATAATTTCCCTTTCTCTGCATTTCATATTAGGCCTGGGTTTATGTATCCTCCTTTAGTGTACAGCTAAGATACTGTACACTATTTTCTGTATCATGCTTTTTCTATTAGCATCTTGTGAAGATAACATCCCTGATACCCAGGAAATGATAATGATACAAGCACAGTATTAATATACATGGATTTAATGCAAACACGTATAAAGACAGGTAAGATATGAGTCCTGTGATATTTCAGTGTCAAAAATGTTCTGTAGAACTAGATATGTAGTTCTTACAGACACTGTAAATGCATTCTCACCTCATGCAACCTCTGTCATATTTATGTCAAATTTTTGTACATTATATTAAATTAATTCAGTATTACACACGTTTTAACTTATGCAAAATGTGGGTCACTTTCAGTCATAAATGGTGAGGGGGTTAATAATGTAAATATTACAAAATGTGTGCTGAGACTACATAGGGTATGTAGGGCAGATTCTGGGAATAATCCAAGAAAACATACAAAATTCCCAACAATTTCTCTCTAACTTTTAATACCTGATTAAGAGAGAGCTTTTGTTCTGCAAGATAGTCATAACTAAAAATTCATTTACCCTTTATAAAAGAAGTCTTGGACAAGAGAAGACTGCAGGAATGGCAACTTGCAGTCCCTTCATTCTTGCTGCCTTCCTGCTTTCTCAAGGACAGGCAGGGATTCAAACAAGCTGGAGCCTCCTTGCTGGAAAATCCAGAACTTTAAAAATCCAAGCTTTCAGAGATCTCCTGGCTAAGCTGGCGTCCCATCTGCAGTGGAACAGTTTCTCTTGCAGGCTCCCCATTCACTCAGCCTTTAAGTACTGATTGGTGCCTCAGTGAAATTTTGCTGACAGTGGTAGAATTTGAATTCGTGAAAAATGAAATAAAAACTTCATTCTGGGTTAATTAATTATTTCTTAATGTCAGTTGCTCGGAATTGCACATCTGACTAACACTCTAGAGATGGAAGTAATGAGATGAAGGGCAAGTAAGTAATTTAAAACTGCCTGACCAATTTCTCACGTGGAAGTTGATTCCATATGTGTGTAACTGAATTTCTGAAGTGCCAAAGCTCCAGCATCTCCCACTAAGATTTGCCTGTCACTGGATTTTGGCAACTTCTGAGTCATTCTCAGAAGAAAATTTCATATTTTGTTTCTGTCTGTGACAATCTCCCTCTTTTCTGTTCTCAGCTGTGCTTCCTAGTGGCCATCCCTGTATTGAGCATCAGTGAAAGTTAAAAAGTTTTCATTACAAAGATATTGTAGGTTTTGAAAGGTGACTGGGTACATCCCAAATGGGATCCATATCCTCAGTACCTGGGTATAAAGGACAGAAGTTAATTGAATAAATATTGGCAGTAAAACAAACAGCATGTGTGGGTTTTGCTGTCAGCTTGACTTTAGCTCTGCCAGAGTGTCCAGCAGATTCTTTCCCTGTATTTTATTGTTATGAACAGGTATATTGATGCTTGTTCATATTGGAGGGGGAAGGGAGGTAGAATGACATCAGAAATTTCAAAATAGATGGAAAAGTAATGTATTTTACCTCCTGATTGGTCCTTGTTTGGTCATGCTGAATATCCAGTTTCATGGCTTGCTTGTAAGGCTTCTGAATTAGGTCGATCTTAAAGTATTCCCTCGTGGGTTTTTTCAGATTAGATGCAAAAATCCATTCAAGTTGCTGTGAGACATTTGGGATAATACTTTTAGTTTCATTTACCTTCCTGTCAGGAAGCTTTTTCTTGGTAATATATTTTTCCTTGCTGCATTACATGTCCCTGTTCTCAATGTTCCATAACTTTCAGACACTGTGGGGGTTGGGTTTGTTTTTCTTTTAACATCTTCATATCATCATTAAGCTTTAAGCTCCTTCCATTTGGAAATTCACTTCTTCAATCCTTCATATTACTTAGCTGTTCTTTCTCCTCACTGGGATGCTTGTGACTTAAATTCAGGAGTGGGAACATGATGTTCAAGAGACTCTGGCAAGGGTATTTTTGTATTTCTTCTTGATGTTTGATTTTCTGTCTAACCTGAAGCAATAATAGCTTCTATCTGGACTGAAATACGTCACTAAATGCATATTGTATGCATAAAAAAGAATCCATATTTTTAAAAAAAAATTAAACTCCTACCTGAAAATCCACCTTTTATTCTTACAGCCTGCAGTACAGTTCCTTGGAAGGCAAATCAGTTTTGTCTCCACTGTTTTGTGTAATAAAGGATGGAAGGATTGGAAGCAGTCCAGTGCATTGATCTGAGATGATTTTGCTTTAGCTTTTGTCTTTCCTTTCCTATTTCTGCCACAAAAGTATCTGAGAAATGAAGCGTGATTGTTGCTGTGCAACTTGTTCTCCTATTACATGAAAGCTGTCAGCTGGGAAAGGTAGATTTCTCCTTTTTTTTCCCATCCTTTCCCAGTTTTGTAGCTTGATTTGTGTCTGCCCACCATCTCAGCTGAGGAAAAAGGGAGACATGCCCAGCAAGAGGTTAACATAATGTCATAAAAGCAAGGATTTTTTATTAATGTGGGAGGCATTATTATTGAGGATATTCTGGACTCCACAAAGCCTTGGTGCTGAGCAGTATCAGAATGTGAGATTTTAAGTACTTGTATTACATATCAAAATTAATTATATTGGTTTTATACCTGTATTTCAACATTACTTGCAGAAATAGTCAATATTTATAGTCTAGAAATCTTTGACATTGTCCACCAAATAGGTGACAGGAAACTGACTGCTGTTGTGGTAGGAAGAGGCACTTAACTCTATTACATTCCCTGATTTAAATAACGATTCATAAATTGCAGCCTTTAAAAACAAAAACTTTAAGAGGTTTTTTTTTTTTTTAATTTAATATTGAAAAATGCCTAGAGAGAGATTTTGGTGTGAATTCTTGTTGGTTTCTTCAGTGATATCTGTAACTGCTGTTGACAATATTATTTGTCCTCAGTTAACATTTTTCTGGGTCTTTTGGGCTTCTGGTGATGCTGGAACAGTGAATTCCTCTATGCTCAACTGTGCTTTTATGTTGCAGAGGAGGATGAGCAGCTGTGATCAGAGTAAAGCTGAGATTCCTGTCATCCTCCCTTTACCTGACCAGGTCTGGGCTGCATCTCATCCTCCCCTGACTGGCATAACTGCAGAAATTCCTCTGTGAGCCAGAGCTAGGTTTAGCTTTGCAGTGATTTTTCTGTCCTCCCTCTGCTCCTTTTTGCTATTGATGTATTGCACTGGTATTTTGAGTGGTTGGAACATGTGACCAGAGTGCAGGGAATGGTGCAGGGTTGTGTTTTTCCTGTTTCATGCAGGTCCTTCTTGCACCAGCAGCATCCTGTGTTGTAATTGTTTTCCAATCACCCCATGGTTATGCCCATTTTTAATGGGATTTCCTGTACTCAATTGTTATGGTTATATATAAACACCTCCTTGTTTTCTGTTTTTAAGGTTGAAGCTGCTGATTTCAAAATATGTGTTAAGCTTGAGAGTAGGAAAGAAATAATACCATGAAACTGTATCTGT